TTATATCACACTAACCTAACTTACGTGAGTTTTAAATTGTAGCACAGCGTCATCAACGTTCCTCTTCTTCTGATTGGTATTTTTGGGGTTTCAGATTAACTCTATGTCGACATTTAAAATTGAAGAAAATTCGAAAGTTTTTTCGAATATTTTTTAAACTTTAGAAGCAGCTGAATAGATTCAAGATTCGGAGAATCATCCAGGAAATCTTGCAAACCATGAGGAAAAGCACACATTTTTGAAATATATTTACAATATAAATTATGTAAAAACTTTCAATTCTGTCATTTCGAAAACTTGTGTATTTAATCATTATGCGACAAATTAGAGAAAATGAGCATATACTGATATTAGGATATTTGAATTTTGATTTTATATCTAACCTTTGCTACATATTATAGATACAGTCGACTCTCAATAATTTGAAACTCGTTAATTTAAGATGTTTTCCCGATCCCTTGAAAAACACTCGATAAATTGAAAAAATCAATATTAATTGGTCCCCTCGGTAATTTGAAGTTGAAGTAATAGTATCTTACCACAAATGAACATTTGTGAATAACTGTACAAATTTTTAAATTAAAGAATCACGAATTTGGATTAAACTCTTGTTTACTTGATTTTATTAACCCTTATTTACTCGCGCCGAGCCTCCGAAGCTCATCCCAATTTTCAAAACTCAAAAATGAGAATTTAAAAAATGCAAAAAAAAAGAGATTATTTTCATAGCTGTACTTATTCAGCAGATCGACATTTGAAACCATATATTTGAACTTCAGTGGCAGCAGGAGAGTGTGAAAAAAAATAATAGAAAAATTGTCTGCGTGCCTCAAAAGTGCGTCGCGAGTGCTGACGTAACACTTTTGGTTAAGGTTTCACTTTGCTGCCTGGCCTCTCTCTCGTCACTGGTACGTTTTTGTGAAATCCTTTAAAACTTGTTTTTCGATTATTTATCCATATTTAATTTTTTTAATTTATAATATATTGCATTTTTAATATATAGGTTTAATATTAGAGCTTTTTTTCTCCGAAAATGGCTAGTAAAACGGTGCAATATTTTCCCTTGCGCAAAGAACCGCATGTCAACCATGACTTGCTGTAAATGCAATAAGAACATTTTTAAAGAACATTCAAATCAAATTTGCTGATATTGCCAGTGAATATTGGCGATTTATTAGATATAAAAGAATTTGCGCAAAGCCTGCGAAAATCTCTGCTTTTTCACATGTTTTTATATTTTTATGCATGACTTGGTAATTATGAAAATAAAATTTCAAACTTTGCTATCAATTTAATCCTTATTGTCTATCTACTAAGGTAAAATACAATTTTAATTTTTGAATCATTTTTTATCATCATAAAGTTCGAGATCGGGAAGCTCGGCGCGAGTACCTACGTCCTAAAAACGGGCGCGTTTAATTAAGAGTAAATATGTAAGATTCTATCTAAAAATTGAAATATATGAGGGAAAATGTTGCCGACGACTTTCTCAAGCCAGACCAGCCCGTGAACTAACTAAACAATGTTAGAGCTAAATTTTCCCACGCCGAGCGAGGCAAGGATATCTCTTACTATCCTACGCTTCTACGCGCCTCAGAACCGGAACACGTAAAGAGGGATTTAATTAGCCATTTGTACAACCTTTTAAAGCATATCCGTGCCAAACCCCATAATTGGAACGTATGGAATAATGTGTTTTGGCTTGTTTAAACTACTCTTAGGTCTAGAAAACCGAAGAAGCTGGATGGCCTCTGGAAAGTTGTTATTGACTGTTGGGATAAATATATTCTAAGGCTAAACCTTATTTCCTGGAAACATTGATGCTGGGATGTTGCTCAACGTCAAGGCTTTCACATAGAGAACAAAATATTGTACAAAAATTAGTAGACTAATTTAAAATAAAGCACACATACATCGTTATTTTAAAAATAAAACACCCTCTATATACCTTAGATACGAGTTCTGGGCGCCTGTTTGAATAAATTTAAAATAATAAAACCTTTTTCATAGTGCTTTCATTTGCCTGTGCCAAAAATGAGTCAAGAAAATGGCCTTTTCTGCCTAAAGTTTGCTTTAACTGGTAAGGTAGTAGTTCCAAAAATTCCGGAAAATATTAAATGCTTTCTTTGGAAATGTGAATAATACTCAGAGTAGATATATATACGTATAAGAGTTTATCGTTGAACCAAAATTATATATACAATATTAGAGCGACTTGTTGTATAATAAGATCGATTTATTTATCCTTTCTACTAAAATACGCAAATTCATATATGTGTAACGATATCACAATATTAATATCCCACCTATGTTGTCTATGTGTGGTGAGAATTTGTGTTATTAAGTTCAATTTAGGGTTTTGCAAAATATTATATATCAGCAACAAATCCAACATACATTTTAATTATAGCATATGCAGGAATAAAATAATGTAAACAGGATGGTGATAAGTTAATATATGCTGAGGATATTTGATATATTATAATCATAAAATTTTATGACCAAATATATAACAATTCCTTCCCTCCTTTTAAATATTGAGTCTGTCAGGTGGTCTTCTTTCTCTGACAGAATACTGCCTTGTTGTCTTGTGCTCCTTAGCTGGCACTGGACTCGGCTCCTCTGAGGTCTCAGAAGTAGGCTGAAAAACTATGAGGTCTCCTACATTATAGGAATCAGCATTTTTAAGGCAATCTCCTCAGGTATAAAATTCTGCTCCGGAGGTATTCTTACCGGGGCCAATAAATCCTCAAGAGCATACTGAGGAGATTGCCACAAAAAAGACTACCATCAATAGTGATAGTGAATGAGACGCCCCAATGTTTCAGCCTACTCCTGGAACCTCTGGATCATAGAGGCCGAGTCCGGTGCCTCTCCCAGCTAAGGAGCACAAGACACGGTATCCTATCAGAGAGAAACCTAACAGATTCAGTCATTTAAAGAAGGAATGAAATTGTTATATATTTGGTCATAAAATTATTTTATTATCATATTGATTATCGCTTGTAAATATTAACTAATCATCTTTTGTTCACTTTATTATATTGACATAATTAAATTTTAAATTAAAAAAAGGCATATTTCGGATTAATTTTTTTTGCCAATATTTCGGTTGGCTGAAAGCCTAATGTGGGTTTTATTTGTAACTAATAAATAAAATTTTATAATCATTGCATTTTTTATCACCAATATATAACACTCTGCATAAGATTCTTATATTTCCAAAGAGAAATAATTATATATATATATATATATATTTTTTTTTTTTTTTTAAATCTATATCTAGAAAATTTGGAACCATCACTTCATCAGTTAATACCCATTTTTAGCAGATTTTACTATTTTCTTGAATCGTTCGTAGCACATACAAAATGTAAACACGCACCTAAACTATAAAATATGGATTGTCATTTTAAATTTTAGTTAAAAATAACATTCATAACTTACTCCAATTTGTGAGCCCTGTCAATTAAAGAAGATAGACGCCTAGATCCTTTGTGGTGTCGGAATGAAATTTGCGTTTAACGTTTATATTAGCAGTCCTACCTGCTCATGTTGGAAAAAAGGCGTATGAAATAGGTGTATGACAACCTTTAACAATTCAAAATCATACACTTTCATTTATAAAAGAAAATAAAACATACTCGTTATTAGTAATCAATATAATGAAAATAATAAAAAGAATAAAATATTTGAGTGAGAGAAATCAGCAGACAAAAGGCCAAAGGAGGACAAGAATTTACAAAGGAAAAGGTTAACTCACGCGTTTCTTTACTTGCTAAAGTGAGTAAACATCTAAAGGTTGGATAATGTAAAAAAATATTTACATATGTAAAATAAATTTCATATATATATGCTTGTATTCTCTCTAATTAAAATTTCTAAAACTATTTAGAGAAAATATATTTTTATATCTAAACTATTGTTGTGAAAATGTTTTCTTTCTGCTTGTGTAAATAGTCGCAATTGTCCAATTTGCATAGTTAGGAGTTAGTTAGCGTCAGTGTTTGAGTTCTTTCTTTAATATATGTTTAATTCACTTTAACTCTGTAGAGTTTCTTTTAACTTAAAATATATATTTAAAGAAAGAAAGTGTGAAATGTTCAGAATAAACCAAAGGTTCTTATCGTTTTTAGATCATCACTATTATTTGCCTAGCGCACATATAAAATACGCCAATTTATTCACTTATTTTTTAATTCAACAATTAAACTATTTTAAATATAGATTCGTGTATTGATAAAAGCCCTCGCATCTAAAACAAATGATTCAGCCTAATTTTACTATATATTAGTAGCGTATCAATGTCATATAACATTGTTAATAAAGACATTTTAATGCTGTCTTCTTGTTTAAAAAAGGTTAATTTCTTTTTTTTTTTCTCATTATTTTCATTCAATTTTTCAAACTTTCCAAGGAAATTAAATATCTTCCACATCATGGATTGAAAACCATACATAATATTTATCACTCTTAATTTATCAATATCATTTTTAATATTATATACAAATATATATACAAGTATATTTGAAAGGATACGCAAAAATAATTTGCATCTTCAAAAATAATAATATTAATAATGCCGTCAAATAAGTATTTTCATAAATCTTTCCAAATAATTTCAATATATCAAACGAGCATTGCTAGTGATATAATAATTTTATCAAATAAAACTTTAAATATGTATATTTCACATTCAATAATATATAACATTATTTAGCCAGTTGCATATATTCGATGACGAATTCGAAAATGTTGATAAAATTAATTTTACGGCATAATGACTGTAGTCACTATTTTTTCAAGTTTCAGAAAGGTTTTCAATCTTGGTTCCAGGAGAGAGAAGATGGTTTTTACGGACTATTAACTAAAGTGTATGATTTTCGAGCCAAAAAATGAATGTAGCAAGCAGACAAACCACAATGCACTGTAACAAAGTACCAAGGTGCTGCACGCCACCAAGGTTGTTCAAAAAAGGTTAGATTCCCTAGAAAGGTAATAGCCTACAGCAACCGATGTTCACCCTCCCAAGTACTGACCGGGCCCGACATTGCTTAACTTCGATGATCGGACAAAAACCGGTGTTTTCAATGTTATATGACCGTAGGCATTGGTTCAAAAACGGATTTCATATTTCTAAGCGATTCTGACGTAGATACAGTCTGATCGACCGACTCTTCACTTGTTTAAATATGTGCCTCAGAGGAGTTTTTCGGACAGAAAAATATATAAATTATATAAAACCTAAAAGTATACATGAACTTGATTTTTTTCTTTATAGAAGTAAAATAAACTAATCTCCAAAAACGTGTTGTATTTTAATTAATACATAAAGATATTTAATTATAAAGCCATATATCAATTCGAAAAATAATTCATTTACCAATATTTCAGTTGGTGAGCGCCAATATATGCATTTTTAATTAAATATATATTCATAGATTGCTCTATTTTCAAAGCATATTATGAGTGGATAATTTATTATTTAAATAAATTATCACTGATTAAATCAATTAATCTGCTCGTGAAATGAATTAGCCCCACTGATGTTTCATATACCTTGTTGATTATTAGTATAGTAAATTATTTTGATCTGATCTGTACACAACCAGTATTATCTTATTTATAAATAAACATTTGATAAATTTTGATTAAAGGACATCCTCACTATCGTGACAACTGGTGGAAAAGCTGGATTATCCTCTCGCCTTCAAGCCGATAGAAGAAGCGGAAGAATACAAGGACTTGTATCTCAAGAGCATTTCGCCATGATAAAACAAGAAGAATAGATCAAAAAGGATGAGTACCACTTTAAACCCTTTATATAGAAGCCCCTCTGTTTACACCAGAGAACCCGATCAGAACTCGAGAAATAGTCAAAATATTTCCATCGCGTCTCTCGCTACAACTGCTGGGACAACTCAATGTGTCCGACAAATGCTATTTTTTCCTATCGGGAACATCACGCATTTTGTTTGAAAACGTAGAGGAACAAATATATTCCTAGGATATTTTTATGAAGATGTTTTCTCACACATTTGGACATCACATCGTTCAAAAGAGGCAGCTTATAGAAAAACTTAAAACTCGTGCCCAGGAAAAGGGATGGTCAAGCGATGTTCACACCCAAGATGCTCTTTATTTATGCACAGAAGTGGATATAAATATAAGCGAAAACGAAATGGCCGCACATTTAGTAAAAGGAATATCAGAGGATATTTATCGCTCAATCATTACGTTGGACATTGCTACCACCGATGAATTTATAAGAAGGTGCCAATAATTAGAAATTATCAAATTTAACGTGTGAGTAAACGCATAAGTCTTTGAGAAACTCCCAAATGTTTCTGCCATCGATTTAACAGACTGAATCTATGGAAAACTCAATAAGACCTATCATGCGTGAAAAGGTTCATCGCGCACTAAATCTCGAGCTAGCTACCCCTGAACCATCTTTTTTGGGTAAATAATTTCCAAGAAGAGGTTGAAAAACGTGGCTGCAATTTCGAAGCATATTTGCAGGCCTTCACCACGACTGCCGTATCCCAACTAAACACGTGCATTCAACCAGGTTCCACGACGTCAGTACCCTACCTATACACCCAAACAGAGGCCACCACCACGACAGATTGGTAAATGGAGGACAAATGACAACATCCCAATGTGTTTCAATTGCGGTCGTCCAAGCCATTTTAAGCGCTATTGTAGAGACCGTCGCCAAAAGACGCAGAGACCCGAAGGAATTGAACCAAGCACCCAAGAACCTCAAATGGGTAAAGATCGAGCTGTAAGAAGCCAAATCCATCACAGAAAATCTCTCTATCCAAACAAAGGAAGAAACCCAAGATACTAATCTCCACGCCGCCAACACCTGAGAAATTAAACTCGACCTCCATCTAGGGTGAGGCTGCAGTTGTTAAAATCCCTCTTTCGTCGATTATGTTTAAATCATCATTGAGGACATTGAAATTTTTGCATTGGTCGATTCAGGTGCCTCATCTACAGTAATATTTTACGGATTAAGGCGATAATTAAGGAAGACGATGTTTAAGGATAGCGAAATCACTCCTAAAGTTGCTGATGGCAAGAAGGTCATGCTGATCAGCCGATGTACAATAGGTTTGAGCATAAATGGATTGAGACAACCGTTTGTGTTAATTGTCCTCCCGAATAGTAACCCAAGCATCATTCTCGGATGAAATTTCCTAAAGGCAACAAAGGCCGTGATTGATTGTGGAAGTGCTGAAATTAGAAAAAAAGAGGCCATAAATTTACTAAATTCACCAGCTTCCATGGGAAAGGTTTTGGCTAGCAGAAGCGTTGTAATTCCAGCCGAATCTACCAAACTAATCAATGTTATGAGTGAAGATCTGAATGAGAAAAGCCAGGTACTTTTTAACCTTCAAAAAAGTATTGATATGGAAAGGATTAACAGTTTCCTGCGCATTATTAAAACTTTCCCATAATAAAGGAAAACCTTGTATCGTAAATTCTGCACCACAGCTCAAATAGTCATTAAAGAAATGTGAATGGGAAAGTTCAAGAGTTGAAGAAAATCACTTGACGGGGGGATGGGGCTATATCAGAGTGTTCTGAATTTAATAGGGAGGTGAAAATGCGAATCCTGCCAGTCATGCTATGAAAGTGGAATTTCATTTTAACAAAATCTAATCAACAATGAATTATCACAAGATCAGCAATCTTGTATATAAAAATTTAAAACAATATGATAAAATATTTGAAAAATAATGAGAAGAAGAATGGTAACTGACGTTTCTATGTCGATTACAGGCGATTAGACAAAGTTACTGAAAATGATGTTTACCCACTCTCCTGAATCGGCGATACACTTGACTGTCTGAAAGGAGCCAATTTTTATTAAATGATAGACCTCCGTCCAGTATATTGGCAAATATATATTGCGTATGATATTGTTTTTTACAGCACAATACAACAATGTTGGCAAGTTTCTCTAGAGTGGAATGTCGAGGTGACGAATAGAAGTCGACGAAGCAGACATAGAGAAAACTGCCTTTATTACCCCTGACAGACTGTACAAATTTCTAGTCATGCCTTTTGGCCTGTGTAATGCTCCTTCAACATTCGAGCGCAAATGATGGACAAGATACTGAAAGGTCTGAAATAGAAAATGGCCCTTTGCTATTTTGAAGACATTGTGGTGTTTTCTAAATCGCTCGGCGAACATTTACACCGAGTTGAAATACATTACAATTTCTTAACAAAGCTAATAATGTAATAACTCAATTTTAGAGTTTAAGAGAACACAAATTTGAGCCAAGATTGTGGTATATCAAGGAATATTAAAATATTGTTTTACAATTTATATTCCACCTATTATAGCATATAGATTAGTTCTATATAAATCGTTAGCCCAAATAAATAATCTCTTTAAATATAACTGAAAGTATGCAAATTATACGGAGCAATT